TGGGATTTGCCTTCCAGTCTGCCCTGCAGTTCGGGGCCCTGCCGACTCTTCTGGAGACACGTTTCACCTTCCCATCGGGAGAACGGCCGTGAGCTGAGCACCAGCAGCCTTCCCGGTACATGGTCTCGCTTCACCCCCATGTTGCCCTGTGAGCCCAGGCTTGTCATCCCCACCTCAGAGCTGAGGAACCCAAGACCCAGGGATGATAAGAGCTTGCCAAAGTGCCACCACCTAGTGACCGTCAGAGCCAAGATGCCCTCTCCACCACACCACCCGCCTCCGCCTCTGCTGGGAACCCCTCCCGGGCTGCCAGGTACGGCTGGGCTCTGCAAAGGACAGAAAGAACGAATAGTGTGGGCTCCACAAGGGGATGACCAATAGCCTCTGGTGTCCCAGGAGAAGCAGCTCAGAAGCATGTGAACTCTGTGGGTTCCAATCCCAGTCCCAACATGTACCAACCGTGTGCTTGAATTTCTCCCCATCTCTCTCTGTTTCCTCCTCTGTAAAGTGGCAAGAAGATAACAACACCTACTTCCTAGGGCTCCTCTGAGGATTAAAAAGCAGAAACAGCACCTGCTCACGGGAAGTGCTCGGGAACGCCAACCGCTGTGATGGGCGGAGTCTTGCTGTGCTCAGACTGACAAGCTAAGAAGCTGTCACTAGGGAGTGTAGATGGGCTCTGAGCACCTAGGCCACCATCCCATCGGCCAGGTGCGTGCGTTTGGGGGCCCTCAGATATAGAACTCTCGTGAGTCACCATGCCCTTCCCACACCCAGGAGCCTGGTGTGACCAGCACCCGCCCAGCACAGTTCCAGGGCCAGTTGGCTGCCTCACCTTCTCCTCCCTGGAAATCCATGCCTCAGTGCAAAGGACGCGGCTGAGCTAAGAGCCTGGATGAGCCTCCTCTGGTGTTCGGATCTCCCATCCATATGAGCACAGGGCTCCACCCCAGCCCTGCTAAGCCTCCTGTGCTCTGGGCTCAAGGGCCACCCTGGATCCACAGGGCCCAGAGAAGCCACAGCAACAAAGGCCTGGGAAGCCCCATGCTGTTTATACCTGTCCCCCCGGGGGGGGGGGGGGCCACGGTCACATGGGTTCCTAGAAAGGGCTCCACACCTGTGCTGCCCGGAACGGGTTTGCCTCCCCGACACAGCCCTGTTAAAGGCAAGGCTGATGGCACTTAGTTCCTGCCAGGCCCCATGCTGAGCTCTCTCCAAGCATTCTCTCATTCATTGCTCACAACAGTCTCATGAGATTGGCATTGCCAGTATCCCCCATTTAGTAGATGAGTAAACTGAGACTTGGAATGTTTCAGAAGCCTACCCCGCTCCAGCCCAGCTTTGCCCTCCTGGCTCTGAACGCCCATGGCAGTGACTGGTGGTTGATCTGCTGGCCCTCCCTTCACTGATACCCTCCAATTGTCTTGTGTTTGAGCCGTGTGTTCCCAGGGAGACTGTTTTGGGGGCAAAGACAGACCTCCTACTTCTTTTGAAATCTCTATAGTTCAAGCATGGAGCTAGGCTCCCAGATGTCTCAGAATGAAAGAATAAATGAAAGGAGGAATGAATGAATGAATGAGTGAATGAATGCTTGGCCCATGGTAAGTTGTGCTAAGTGAGAAAGAAAGGAAAGGATTTTGAGAGAAAAGGAACATTAAGAAAGGGGGCGGGGGGGGGGGAAGAAGGAAGGGAGGGGGAAAAAAGTGGGTAGGGAGCTGGGAGGGAAAAAACACTTCCAAAGTCAGACTTAATATCCCTACTGTTATAGATGAGGAAACTGAGGCTCAGAGATTGGGCAGCTCTGTGTAGGGGAGCAGCACTGCCCAGACTAACACTAACAAAGTGTTCTCTGGGCCAAAAGCCATTCTGCCAAAGGGAGACAGGCCCATAAGCCTATTCTGTGGCTAAAAATTCTTGATAAGTTTTTTTAGATAATTTTATAAGACATATAAGTAATATTTTTAAAGCTATGAAGTAGCCTCTAAATCATTCTGGTCTATTTCCATTCTTCCTCAGCATTCTTTTTACTAAAACGAAATAATGACCTAGAATGCCTTATCAGCAAGAACCAATCTTGTTAGTAAGTATCCTAATTACTTTTCGGACAGGACCTGTGCACCCCGCCAAGGTAGGGTCTGTGCTGTCCCCAGAACATGCCGTGGGTGCACTTGGCCATACTTTAAAATACCTTTGCCCTCCTCCTTCCTGCTCTGCCCATCCTTCAAAGCTTCCATTAATTCCAAATCTCCCCTAAACCCCCAGCTCTCAATGACCTCTCCCCATCCTGAGAACCCGAGAGCCTGCCCCACACCCACACCCGCCATGCCTTGTGCTGCATGGAGCGCAGGCGGCTGTCTCCCCAGCTGGACCATCAGCTTCTTGAGGACTGGAGGGCCCGTGACCCACCGTTTGATCCAGCTGCTTCCCCCGCACCCCCTCTTCTCCCTGGATGTTCCCCTGCATTAGCACTTGTTTCATGCATGAGGTGTTGGTTGATTAATTGATTGGAGCATGAGAAAGATAGCCAGATAGCAGCTCTGCAAGTATAAACAAGATGAGAACCACCTTGAAATAAAGGATTATGTTCACTCTGGAGGAATTTGATAAAATGTAATGTGTGATATCATCTCTCCCTTGGTGTCAAAAAAGAGCAATGACATAGGAGTCAAAAGGCCTGCAAGGGTGTCCTGTCTGCCCTTTACTGTGCCAGTGCCGGTCCCCAGCAGTGCTGAGCAAAAGTGCTGAGTTCTGGTTTCCACAGCAGTTAGTGATTTAAACTGGAACACAGTTAAGTGTGGGTGTGAGGTCGAGGATAGGAGGGGTTCCTTAACCAGTGCAGATACTCTGAAATTTCTTTTTTTTTTTTTTTAATTTTTTTAATGTTTATTTATTTTGGAGAGAGAGAGAAAGAGACAGAGCCCAAGCGGGGGAAGAGCAGAGAGAGAGGGAGACACAGAATACGAAGTAGGCTCCAGGCTCTGAGCTGTCAGCTCCGAGCCCAACGCAGGGCTTGAACCCACCAACTCGAGATAATGACCTGAGTCGAAGTCCGACGCTTAACGGGTGTTATCAATCAGGTTTCTCCAGAGAAACAGAACCAATAGGATGGAAAAAAAAAAAAAATATATATATATATATATATATGGACTCACGTAGTTGAGGAGAGGCTTGCAAATCTGAGATCCGTAGGACAGGCTGGCAGCTGGAAACTCAGCAGGATCTCTGTGTTACACTCTTGGACTGAGCCACCCAGGTGCCCTGATGCTCTGAAATATCATAAACAGCTAGACAACGCTACATAAAGAAAGTGCCTACAGGGGCACCTGGGTGGCTCAGTCAGTTAAGCGACTGACTCTTTTTTTTTTTTTTAATGTTTAATTTTGAGAGAGAGAGAGAGAGAGAGCGCGCGTGAGCAGGGGAGGGGCAGAGAGAGACAGAGACACAGAATCTGAAGCAGGCCCCAGGCTCTGAGCTGTCAGCACAAAGCCCAACGCGGGGCTCGAATTCACCAATCGTGAGATCATGACCTGAGCCAAAGTCGGACGCTTAACCGACTGAGCCCCCCAGGTGCCCCAGTGACTGACTCTTGATTTCCGCTCAGGTCATGATCGTGTGGTTGTGGGATTGAGCCCGCATTAGGCCCCTCACTGAGGGTGGAGACTGCTTGGGATTCTGTCTCTCCCTCTCTCTCTCTCTCTGTCCCTCACCCACTCGTGTTCTCTCTCTCTCTCTCTCTCTCTCAAAATAAACAAACTTTACAAAAAGAAGAAAAGAAAGCACCTACAGCCACACAGGGCAGTCTGAGTGCCTGAGACGAGGCTGTGGGTGCACCCCATAAGCTGTAGAGGGCGCACATAAAGGGGACATGCTGTAGGACAGAGTGAGGCGCTGACGGTGTGATTATTTGCCAGGATGCACGACCCGGTGTGGTCTGTCTGCCTGCAATAGCAGGGCAGCTCGAGCGGTGGCCAGAACAGAGGGCTCAGTCCACCTCCTGCTCCCTGGCCGTCTCCACACACCAGCAAGCAGGGCTGGGATGTGCTCTGTGCACACCCTGCGGCCCACCGTCTCCAGAGCCTCAGGCCAGAGCAGGGAGTGGCAGACATCAGCCCCCAGAGCAGGAGCATGGAGTACCTGGGGGAAGCGGGGCCTGACCAGTAGGTAGCGATGATTCAGGTTGGGTGGAGGTGGGGAGAGACACTACGAGCTGGGAAGAGGACCAGAGTCAGAATCAGAATAGCTGGACGATGGCCTCTTCTCTGCCACTCACTGCTGTGTGGCCTAAGGAAAGTCACCGTCCACTCTGGGCCTGTCTTCTCAACTAAAGAATAAATCAGGGGGGCAAAGAAGACAGGGGGCCCTCAGACGTCTCACAGGCCATGCGTCTCTGACCAGAGTGGCGTCCAGGGCCCGGCACCATTAGGCTGGATGCCCAGAAGGGCAGAGCTCAGCCAGTAGACTTTGGGGCACTCTGACCTCTGCCCCACAGAGAGGTTCCCTCCCACCTGCTCTGTGTTTCACCCCCCACACTTCACTGTCCCTGTTGTCCTTCATTCAGCCCTGTATCCAGGTCTGGGGACAGAGGGTCACCTGGCTTCATCTTCCAGCTCCCCTCCCCGAAGTGGTCTGCCCAGGCTGGCTGCCTGCCGTTTGCCTCTCTCTGGTTGGTGCCTCTCCCAAACTGGCACCAGTATTGGGCCTGAGGGTGGGCCAACAGGTCAGTGGAAGCTGGACTAAGGAGGAGAAGCTAAAGGGAAGGACAGGGACCACCAGATCCAGGCAGGGTGACCAAGGAGGGCTGGCTTGGGAGCCTTTGCAGGGCCACCAGGTGGGTACCCATGGGCAGGGCTGAAGCTGTTATTAAATATCTTTAATCACCCTGTCACTCCCTACCACTCAGACCCAGAGAAGACAGACGTGAAACCAAAGCGCACAACTTTACTGTGACCCTTGACCAAACATCCCCACTAACTAACCTCATAAGAATAGACAGAGTCACATTTGCAATGCCAAGAGAACACACTTTATTGGGTAGAATTCCAGGGGAACCTAGTTTTGCATAAAAGCAGTTAAGTCCAGAAACACAATATAAGAAGTCATTTTGGTAGAAAAAAAATCTGCTGAGCGGGGAGCCCCTCTAAGGAATGGAGGGGAGGTCATTTAGAGCCAGGAGCCACAGGGGTGTCCCTCCGGGGGTCTGGCTACAGTGGGCAGGGCTGCAGGTGCTCCCTGGAGGAGACGACCTTCCCGTCTCTGATCTCCTCGGTGATGGTGCGGATCTGGGTGCTGACCTGGGGAGCCGGGCCGCAGGGCACAGCCGGAGCACAGGGCACAGTCGAGACGTAAGGTACCCTAACGGAAGGCTTGCATTCCGTGGCACAAGGGTGGGCAGGCAGCCTGAGGAAATGAAATCATATCAGAGTGCATTTGGCATCGGGGCATGGGACTGAGATTCATGTTAAGCGGATTTAGGGGATAGAGTACAGGTTTAGGATGACAACAACCGATGGCTTCGGTGCCTCTGAAACCCCCCAAGGGCTGCAGGGGGGAAGACGAGGAACTCCCAGCTAAGCACCATGGTGGGAAGGCACTGTGGGGGGAAGGGGGGGTGCGGCTTGTGCCCCTGTAATGACCAAGCTGGGACAAGAAGGGATCTCAAGGGAGAGGTTTTGGATCAATCGCTGTCATCCACTGCAGACTGACACCCTCTCTGAGGCACTGAGGGCTGGTCCCCGGGAGCCCTGTCCCCACGCCTGGCTCTCTGGGGCTCACAGCCACTCACTTGCAGTCCTCGCCCTCCAGCAGGCGGCGGTAGGTGGCGATCTCCGACTCCAGCCGGGCCTTGACGTCCAGCAGCACCTGGTACTCCTGGTTCTGCCGCTCCAGGTCACAGCGGATCTCGGCCAACTGGGCCTCCACGTTGCTGATCAGGCACTGCATCTGGGCCAGCTGGGAGCTGTAGCGCGCCTCGGTCTCCGCCAGGGTGGATTCCAGGGAGTTCCTCTGGAAGGGGAAAGAGGAAGAGCCGCCAGTGGAAGGGAATCCCAACCAGAGACCCTGTAGCCCTGGGTATGTGCGTATCCTGTGTGATCACACCCCATCATGAGCCCGCACGGTGAGGCTGGGGGGTCAGGGCTTTGCCAGGAGCTGTGGCCAGCGACTGGGGCAGAAGCCACCCACCATGCTGTGCTGGGCCTGCAGCTCGATCTCCAGGGCGTTGACCGTGCGTCTCAGCTCGATGATCTCCGTCTGGCAACACTGCAGCTGCTCCGAGCTGGACATCACCTGCTGGTTCAGCTCCTCGGTCTGAGGGCCCAGAGCATGGTCAGACCAAGTGAAGCTACTTTAAAGGGGAACCCCCTGCCCCGGGAGCTGGTGCCTGCCCCCTGCCGCCCCAGCCCAGCGGCCCCAGCCCCACCTGGGTGTTGAACCAGGCCTCCACGTCTCGACGGTTATTCTCCACCAGGGCCTCGTACTGGCATCTCATATCATCAAGAATCTTGTTGAGATCCACCGGGGGGGCGGCATCCACCTCCACGTTCAGTCGGTCCCCAAGTTGGCAACGGAGCGTGTTGACTTCCTGCAGAGGGGAGGCAGGATGGCACACGGTTGGGAAAAGGGTGCCGGATTGAGGGTTCCAGTGGCTGGGTTCAAACCCTCCTCCCGCAGGTGCCGGCTGGGTAACGTTAGCATATCAACTTCTCTGAGTCTCGGTCGCCTCACGGACACACACCTGCCTCCTCTGGGGATTTGGGAGGGTAGGGTGACATGAGGCAAACATCAGGCAAATAGAATAAATGTTATCAGGCGCTAGCATCCAGAGGGAGATCTCGTGTCATGGGCAGGAGTGTGGGATCTGTGTGACCCTAGGCACGTGACTGAACCCCTCCGTGCCTCGTTTTTCTCATCCGTAAAATGGGATCATTGTGAGGACGAAATGAAGCGAGAACAAAATGCAAAGTGTTTCCAACAGCTCCAGGCACACAGTGTGATGTCAACAAATGTCAGCTGGAGCTCCTGGGGGGGTAGCTGTCACAGTTGTTAGCCCCAAGGGTCACCGGGGGCTCCCTGCCGGGTGGGAAACTCCGGAAAGTCACACGACACGAGCCTCACCTCCTCGTGGTTCTTCTTGAGGCACAGCAGCTCCTCCTTCAGGGACTCCACCTGGGCCTCCAGGTCGGCCTTGCACAGGGTCAGCTCGTCCAGGATCCTGCGCAGGCCGTTGGTGTCGGCCTCCACCAGCTGCCGCATGGACAGCTCCGTCTCGTACCTGCACACACACACACAACCCTGCTGGGTCTGCAGCGAAGGAGCCACGCACAGGCAGGGTCCCCCGCCCTCCGTCAGCTGCGGTGGCTGATTTGGGGTCAGCAGCACGCTGGGCCTTTCCTTTGACCCGGAAGGGATCCAGGGCCTGTGCCGTATTCCCGCTTACGGTTCCGTCTGGCCTCACTCCCACCTCCCCAGCTCCCAAGGCCGGAGGGCAGAGGCGAAGGAAGACACAACGGACCTTCCCCGATGAGGCCCACTCACTTGGTCCGGAAGTCGTCGGCAGCCAGCTTGGCGTTGTCAATCTGCAGGACTAGCCTGGCGTTCTCAGCCTTGGTCAGCAGGATCTGGGGAACAAGGGGCGTCCCGGGAGCTAGGAAAGGCCCAGCTCACAGAGGGCATGCTTCTAAGTACCACCGGCACCTTCAGCATGCCCAGCCCCGAGTCCTGAGCCCTGAGCCCAGACATGGAAGGAGCATCAGTCCCAGGAAGGGCATCACTAGAAGTAGGCCCCAGAATGGCACGGCGGGAGGCCTCAGGCTGAGGTGCAAAGATCCAAGCCAACCCGGATTCAGATTCTGCATCTCACACTCACAGGCTGTGCGATCTCGGGCAAGTTTGCTGAACCTCCCGGATACTTAACTTCTGCCTCTGTTAAATGGGCCCAGTAATACCCATCTCTCCAAGGTGAGATCTCCAAGGTGAGTATTACCCATCTCTCCAAGTAATCTAACAGATGGGAAAGCATCAGGCGCTGTGCCTGCATTTGGTAGAGGCTGGGTACATGTTATTGCCCTTCCTATAGCTAAGACAGCCAGGGGAGGAGAGGGATGGCTGGCATAGATGCACTTAGCAAGAGACTCACAGAGGTCTGGGTCCCCCCCGCCCCGCCCCAGAAAACCAGAACCCCCAGAGAAAATCTTGCCCTGAACAGAGAATTCCCTAAGAGGTCCTAAGAATTCTCATCCGTCTGTAGTCCCTTGGAATGAGACAGGACCCTCCCCCCCCCCACCACCACCCCACTCCCAGCCAGGGCTGGGGATGCTGGGGAGGGGCCAGGTCCCCATTACCTTCTGCTGGAGGTCCTCGATGGTCTTGAAATACGACTGGTAGTCTGGGCAGATGTACGGGATCTGAGACTCATACCACTCCCGGATCCTGGTCTCCAGCTCCACGTTGTCCCGCTCCAGCTGGCGCACCTTCTCCAGGTAGCTGGCCAGGCGGTCATTCAGGAACTGCATGGTCTCCTTCTCGTTGCCATTGAAGGCGCCTTCGCAGAACCAGCCCCCGCTCCCAACAAAGCCAGAGGGGTAGCAGCCAGCGGCCAGGTAGGAGCCGGGCAAGCAGCTCCCGAGGCTGGAGAGGCCCAGCCTGATGGAGGAGGCAGACCCCACAGCACCAGCAAGACTGGGGACCCTGCAGGAGCCCACAGAGCGGACGGAGGACACCCGAGAGATGCCGCCTGCCGTGCCACACAGGCCCTTGACAGACCCAGAGGAGAAGACCGGGGTGCAGACCTGGGTGGCCATGATCCTAGCAGAGGCAGGTCACAGTGAAGCAAGGAGCTCAGGTTCTAGACTCTCAAGGCCTCTCTGGGGTGTTTATATACAGTCTCCATGGGGTGTTGGCGTGTTTCTCTTGGGAAAGCCTATTCCTATTCCAGAAAGCTAATCTCATCAGAATGTGATTTTTTTGCTACCCATCCAGAATTTCTTAGCTTGTAAAAAATTAAAAAAAAAAAAATTTGAATTTTGTTTGCTAAGTCAGGACTCTCGTGTGTTGTCATTTCCTGTCAGAATATGAATTTTATTGCGTCTTCAAAGTCTTTGCACCAGATCCCATAAATCGGGAGTGGCCTCACAAATGACATTTGGTTCCTGCTCTCTCTGCGTGCCTTCCCCGGAGCAACCCAGTCTGTCTGCTCGTCACCCCCTGTCCACTTCCCCGGCCTCACAGGTGCTCCCCTGCGCCTGGGCCCCTGGGACGGCTAAAAGGGAAGGACAATTCCCGGAGCTGCTGTGTTCAGGACCCGTAGTCACTTCATTTACACCACACAACAATCCTGGGAGGCAGCCGGTCCTGTCTCCATGGCACCAATGGTGACATGGCAGTGAGTGACAGAGCTTGGAACGGAGACCAGGTCTCCCAGACCCCAAATCCTGTACTCCTGTGTTCCTGCTGCTTCTCTCACACAACCAAAGTCAAGTGCAGGCACCCAGAATCTGGGACCCAGAGACCTAGGTCCAAATGATGGCTCTGCGGATAATCGGTCCTGCCATGTGAGCACATGACTGTGGTGTACTTCAGTGTCCTCATCAGGACAGTGCAGGTCATCAGCCTGCCCTGCCTGCTTCCCACAGATATGAGAAGAGTCGAGAACAGAGGTAAGGGTATTTTGAAAACCCCTGTGCGCTCTAGAAACACTGCTTACACAGGACAGTCTTTGATGATGGTTTGTGGCTGTGGCTGGCAAAGGATCGCGTGTGTGAGCCCTCCAAGGGGCTGCCCTGGAGGGCAGTGTCCTTTGTGACCCGCAGGTCTCTGAACCTGGGAGAGTAGAATCAGGACCCTGGGCAGCCTCCACCGTCCCCCTAGGCCCTGAGAGACGGCTCAGTGCAGATGACAGGAGATGGTCAATGCAGACGCGTTGGACAGGGAAGGAAAAAATGAGAATAAACAAAGCACTGCCAGATAATTAAGCAAGCTGGGAGGAGCACCTGAGAATTTAACCACCAAAAGTAAACTCCGTCTGCCGCCTCACAAAGTGGGATTTCCCAAGGCTCAGGCGACCCGCTCACTCTTCTCCCACACAGACTTGGTTTGCAAGACTGGCGTTTATGGAAGCATTTATGTGACACTGAAGTTGTAATTTAGCAACCTCTTAAAACGCTTTATAAGCTTCTCTCCGAAATTACTCAGGAGGGTTGGCTGTGATGCCCATGCCTCACCCACTTCGGCAGACACCTCGACAGGATGCCTGACAGCGCCCCCCCCCCACACTGGGAGCGGAAAGGGGGACATTAGGCCCCCAGAGCTCTGGATGCCACGGAACCAGGTCCTCACAGCGGCCCCGTCTTCCAGCAGAGCCTAGGATGGGGCTGTCCCTGGGGTTTCTCAACCTCAGCACTGACATCGTAGACTACATAATTCCTTATGGGCGGGGAGGCTTCCGGTACATCGTAAAATGTCAGCAGCGTCCCTGGATTCTATCACCAGATGCCAGTAGCAACCCCCTCCCCCAGTTGTGGCAATCTGAGATGTCCCCAGACACTGCCAAATATCCCCTGGGAGGCCAAACCCCTCCCCAGTTGACAACCACTGACCATCAGGACAGGGGCTCTGACCAGACCTCCTATAAATGCCCCCCTCTGATTTCTAGGACGACTCACGCAGAGTCTGGCTGTCACTGTGGGGCCCACTCAGGCAAGTCCCTAAAGCACCCATGCTTCAACTTACCTTATGTGGGACACAGCGTGCTCTTCCAAGGGCAGCCCTTCCAAGGCCTGGCACGGCTCTTCTCCGGGGCCTCTGGCTGCCAGGCATCTGACGTTTCTGGGTTTTTTCACCCCTCCGCTGAACGATCCATATCTGAAGATGATTGCAGGTTTCCTTCAGGGCAACCGAGTGGGCAGGTGTCTGATGCTCTGCTCCCATCGCTCCCAGCCTGTGCATCAGGGTGGCCGCCAAGGGCCAGAGTCCAGGCAGGTGTCTCCCAGGCTATGAGGAGAGGCACGTACCTCTCCTGAAGCGGGTGACAAGCGGGTCAGAGAAGGGCTTTCGGTCGCGCTTGGTCCTCTGCCTTTCTCCACGTCGCAAACTGCGAGGCCACCCCTCGGGGGGAAGTGTGGAGGGGGCTTCATGGGAGCAGATTGCTCTGCTCTCTTCCACCTAGAAGCCGGGGCCATGACAGGATGGAAGTGAGGCCCATGCGGAACAGATGCCCTGCCTGCATCAGGGAAGAGAACCCAGGACTCACAGAGCCACTCGTCTCCCAACACAGCCCCAGGGATCTGCCCACCCCACTCCCCATGGCGCCCCAGCCTTAGAGAAAATCCCCCCTGTTCGGCATCAAGTAAACCAGGAGTGCCCATTCATCAGGTTTTATTTCAAAATAGAGTCCATTTCAAGACCATTCTTTCTAACATTAATCTAAAGGAGCGCCTGGGTGGCTCAGTCGGTTAAGCATCTGACTCTTGGTTTCAGCTCAGGTCATGATCTCGCGGTTCATGAGCTCAAGCCCTATATTGGGCTCTGCATTGATGGTGTGGAGCCTGCTTGGTATTCTCTCTCTCCTTCTCTCTGCCCTTCCCCTGCTCCTGCTCTCTTGCTTTCTCTCTCTCTCCTCAAAATAAATAAATACAATACAATACAATACACTGGGCTAAGGGTCAGCAGCCTGGACTCCAAGCCAAGCTCTGCCCCAACCTTCCCAAGTGACCCCCGTCCGTTCCGGGCCTCAGAGCCCCAACCTGAACAGGAAGTGCCCAGACAAGGCAAGCTTGAGGCCCTCTTCCATCTCAGACATTATAGGATTTGAGGCCTAGGCATTTCCTGTGGAGGGGGCCAGGAGTCACCTGCACGTGTCCGTGACTCATTCACCACCCCCCCACAGCCACCATCCTGCTTCTTTGCCACTAGCCTGGAGAATAAAAGAATGGAGAGAAGTTACAGAGATTCCAGCTTATGACATGATTGAGTTTTCTTGTTGTTTTTTTGTTTTTGTTTTTGCAAACCCTCTTGGACCTCAGGCCACCCTTTGCTTCCACGCCTCCACCAGAGCAAAGGCATGGGCTTCCTCGGGGCCTGCCCTGGTAGGCAGAGGCCACACGAACCCACCTCCTGGGGCTGTTCCCCAGAAGCCCCCATTTGGAGGTACAGAGTCACCGGGATGTTGAGCCGGCACCTCAGCACGTCCAGGCTGAAATGACATCTCTGGCCAACTGAGCCAGGGACACGGCTTTGCCAAAGAAGGGGCTCAGAGGGTCTCAGGCTGGCCCACAGGGGCCTGGGGTCTAAACTCAGGCAGACCTGGGTAGTTGAAGCTACCCAGCCACTCTGAGCCTCAGTTTTTCCAGGAGGAACCACAGTCACAGGATTGTGAGAAGTAAACATGCTTGATGAACAGGAACTGGTGTCACAGATTTGAGAGATCAAAACTGTTCTTAGAACCCATATAGCCTAAGCTCCAGCCAAATGCTGTATCCAGGGGCTCAAATCACTCACCCTGGTTTCATGGGATGCAGCCCAGCTGTGCAAGAAAGACAGCTGATCAAAGAGCAGCAGGAGCCCCCTAGACCAGGACCCTCTGGCCTCTGACGAGAAGCTAGCACCTTCCAAAAGCTACCCCCACTTCCTGCCAGCACCGGTGCTGGCTTTAGGGCTACAGAGCTGACAGGATGCTCTCTGCCCACCATGGCTCCAGCTTCAGGGTCAAGGGGAGGAGGGGAGGTGCTGCTGTAGGAACATAAAATGTCCTGGCTTTTCCCAAGCCCACCTTGGAAGGCCACCAAGTTCAAAATCAACCACTGGGTTTGTGGATCCTTTTTTGGTTGAAGAAGAAGAAGAAGAAGAAGAAGAAGAAGAAGAAGAAGAAGGAGGGGTATCTGTTCTCAAATGAGCTTCCATCTGAAAGCCAAGGTTCTCCGTGGGCGAAGACCCAAGAAATCAAGCATGAGTCTGCTGCCCAGCTGATCATTCCCTTCAACATAGAAGGGACTGGGAACGGCCTGTCACAGTGGGCCCGAGGAGGAAAGCAGGGTCCCTCTTTTCCTGCTTCTCGGTGCTGGTGCTATAGTTAGAAGCCAGCCTCCACCATCACATGGAGCCCCAAAGGCATTGGAGGAAGCAGACCATGGACCATGGGGAAGCCAGGTCTCCACAAAAGGGCACAAAAAGAAAAAGGTCACTCAAGAAATACAATCTCTCTCTCTCTCTCTCTCTCTCTCTCTCTCTCTAGGCTTAGGCTTGAGCTTCCTGGTTTTCCTGGTACCTGTTTGATCTTTGACACCCATACACACGGGTCCTGCAGAATTTCTCACTCTAAGAGGCACCTAGGACATGCTGATCCCAAGTCTTCACCTTTTTAGACCCCACCCAGCACCCACCCACCCAGAAATGGGGACACCCACACTGACCTCCATTTCTTCCCCCCACACAACTGCTTTTTCAATTTACTCAAGCGGCAAAGCACCTGGGATTCCCGGCCCCTCCCAGAAATTTCTGTGCCAAATAACCACATCAAAACCCCAGGCCAACTCTGCTGCCAGCTGTGAGATTCTAGTACAGACGTGCAGTAACAGGTACACGAAGTTGACGGAAGCATTATGGGAGGGGGGGAATCTTTCAATTAAGACATTTTGAGCCACCAATTCGATTTATCCAAAGAATCAGAGAAACGTTGCGCCTTTTTTAGTCTTGACTGGAAGAGACTCAGAGCTGTTCCCAGACCTGCTAAGGGCAGGGCTGCCAGATTTTATTAGCAAACAAAACTGCATACAATATTGGGACATACTTGTACTTGAAATCACTCACTGTCTGTGGTTCCACATTAACTGGGCAAGGCTGCCATCCGGCCCTAGCCAGGCTCAGGACAATCTGGACACACACTGATTGAACAAGGGGGGGGGTTGGGGGTTGTCTCTCCCCACTCCCTGGCTGCCCCTCCATAGGACCAGGAGCCCATGCCCTGGGACCTCAGGAGAGCTGACGAGTAGCCCACGGCTCCGGGAAGTGGCTCCTCCTGAGGACCCAGGCCTCTACCGGGCTCCCGGGGACATGGCTTCCCAGCATGCTGCTCCTTGTATGGCCCTGAATCCCCACTGGGCCTGAGCCCCACCCAGATCAGGACTTGAAACCCCCACCTCACCAGCTCCAGAACCCCCCAGAACTCTCATTCCCCCCAAAACACAAAGGTACTTTCTCTCCCCCTCGGGTGTCATTTGGCAATCGCCCGGGGCTTCTGGATTCTGCTCCAAACTACCCTTGCTTTGGGGGAGGCCCAGAGAGCCACCCCGACCCCAGTCCGCGGCCATACCTCTCTGGTTCTCTCTCACCAGGCTCCGTTCCTGCATCCCAGGACCCACTTCCCTCACCTACAGCCAGCTCTTCCTCCCTGCACAGCTGCGTCGGCTGACAGCTCCCATCTGGAAGAGTCCAGGGCCTCCTGCTCGGATCCACTCAGCCCCTAACTCCCCCCACCCAGCTTTTATGGAAAATTCCAGAGCTGTCACTGCTTTCCCTCAAGTGCCTGGAGAACCTGTGGTTTGTGGGAGACGCGGAGCCAGGCCCAGTGGGAGAAAGAAGCGGTACCTCAGCCTCCCGCGTCCACCGGATTCAGGTACCACTTAACTGAACTACAAAGCAAATTTCCCAAACACCCTGTTTAATTGAGTTCCATCGTCCGCATTCACAGGGCCTGGTGTGCACTCGGTCTCAGTACTTCCTACTGACGACGGCGTGTCTGCAAAGCACTGTGGGCTCCAGATTGTAATTAACTCGGCTTTATACTGTGGACTCCGCTTGCAAACTAGGCTGAGATCCTTGGTTGAAAGAAGCCACAGAGTCATCACGGCCGTTCATAAAAATGGGCCCGAAGAGTGAATACCAGCTCTTGGCCAACTCCCCCGCCCCCCTCCCCACTCGCAACAGGAGCCTGTGTGGGTCTGAGGACCCACCCAGCAACCTGATCCTTCCCAAACTCTGCAGAATGGAGTCTGATGTGTGCTCGGCTCGTGCTGGACCCCCCAGAGGAGCTGCTCAAAGGCGTGCCACTCGCATACCCTGCCCCACTCCAGCCACTAAGCCCCAGGAACACCATCCAATAGGAGGCAGGTCCCCAGGCAGCCCCGAGATGCACGCTGACCCAGGCAGGGAGAGAGGAAGGGCCCCAGCGGCTGACGCGGGAAAGCCGGAACAGCGCATCATCACACGCCATTGACCGCAGCCTTCGCGTGACATCCCTCCCTTCTCTTCCCTCAAGCTCCCCTTAGGAGGGACCGTGAGCCTCCTCTTCCCAGAAAGCCCCAGGCACCTTCATCTCACACTCTGAGTCTTTTGTGGACCCTCAAAGGTTACCACCCAAAACAGAAAGACAACAGGCACCCGAGGAGTCTCGGGGCTCAGCCGTGCCCCGTTCACCAGGGCGCCCAGCTGCCCAACACGAGGCCGGGGACTGGCCAAGGCCTGGTGTGGACACCGGACCCAGGTAGGATCAGGTCTAGGGCTCTGTCCCTCCGCCCTGGGTCCCAGCAGGTGGCCGAGAGGAACTGATCTGCTTTCTGGGGTGAGCCTGCCCCCTGCAGGGCCCAGACAGGACACACACCCCCATCAGGGAGGGCAGAAGTTGACTGCCCCGTCCACGGGGCGGAGCCTGAAAGAGAGGGAGGCACCTTTGCCGAGGGTGAGGAGGAAGAGGGCACAGAGGCAGCACAGAAATTAGCCAACTTTGTGCAGCACCTACCGTATGGAGGTGCTTGCCTCGGGAGCCTGACTAGCTCTGAGGCACGGGACGCCACAGGAGCATCGCATGGTTGACGCCTCTATCCCCTAAGCATTGGGGCTTAGACGAGAGCCTCCTTTCTTTCCCTAGAGGCCCAGAACCGAACGCTTGACTTTGGCAAAAGGCCAACCACAGTCTCGGAAAGCACACTGGAACATGGATGCCAGCTCTCTCGCTAGGCAGGTCACTTCAGCAGCCTGGGCCTCAGTCTTTAGACGTGTAAAATGGGCACAATGGTGCCGACGCATGGGATTGTGACAAAAATGAAATAATGCAAAGGAGCTCCGTAAAGAGTCAGGCACTAGACACACTGTCGCTTTCCCCTTTGTTTTTACCCCGTCTGATTTGGCACCTCTGGCATTCACATGTGATTAGCCACACGCTCATGACCGCAGCCCTGGGAAGCAGGGGTGTGGGCCTGGGGTGGGCGTGGGCACCTAGCGAACTGGGGGAGGGAAATACCAACCCCGCAGGCCTCCCTCAAAGCTGCCCTCCCTCAAATGGCCGCCCCCTACAGATGACAGGGGGAAAAACTGAGTCCTGGATGGAAAGGGCGGATTCCCAGCCCGCACACCACACTACCGAGGTGACCACCTTCTCCCGGTTCAGGAAGGCTGCGGGGTTGGCTTTGACGGCCCCTCCTGGGCTTCCCTCTCTGGCTTCCCTGGGACTCCCGACAGGGCCACAGAGGCCCTTGTGTGAGTCCGGCTTCGATGGCCTCCCTGACGCCTGGGTGAAAGGGTCCCCGACCAGAATCCCCACCAGGCCCAGGGTCCAGCTCATTTCGTGGCTCCACGTGGACGACACGGACCTGGGCATGTGAGCTAGAATTAAGTCCAGCCCGTTCTGCAGTGGTTGGGGGAGAGGGGAGGAATCTGGAATGCTCTGGCTTAGTCAGCCGGGTGGGCCGCATGTGAGTGATGTTTGTAGGACTAAGCCAGCCACCTGGGCCCACAGCAGCGCCCCAGAGGTAGCTAGGCTGGTCCAGGGAGAGAAAGGCAGCCCCACCCTCCCAAGCACGTGGTCAACACCGGGCTAGGCAGGCGCAGACACACACACACCTGAATGCACCCCACACTGTCCGGGTGCCACAGGGGAGGGGGTGTGCATCTCAGTCTGAACGGTGAATAAAAACCCAGTAGTCTCAGGACACGCGGGTGGCTCAGTTTAGTTAAGTGTCTGACTTCGGCTCAGGTCACGATCTCGCGGTTTGCGGGGTCGAGCCCCACAGAGGGCTCTCTGCTGTCGGCGTGCTTCGGATCGTCTGCCCCCCCTTCCCCTCTCTCTCTGCCCCTCCCCCGCTGCAAAAATAAATAAACACGGAAAAGAAACACCTGGTAGCTTCCAATAACACAAATGTGGGGGCGCAGAGGGAAAGCGAGGAGGAAGGTCACCTCAGACTGAGGTCATTCATTGAACAAGGGCCCAAGGCTCCCAGTCACATGGCTGGGTCACCAAGACCGGTTTGCAATAACAGGACCTCAAGGTGTGAGAGGGGGCGATTGTAGAATTCAGGGCCAGAGACAGGCAGGAAGAGGCCAGACAGTAGCGGCCTCCGCCAGGGAGGAGTCCAGGTTTTCTTCAGTGGCCAGGGGAGCCACGGAAGCATCACTAGGCCAGGAGGAAGACTTCCCATTCCCAGGAATCATCCCCAATTGAGTGTGGAGCAAGGACGCAGGGGAAGCTCAAACTGGAGGCAGGGAGGCCAGGGAGGCCGGCTGTGAGGACATCACAAGCTACCAGCATCCACAGGATGGACTTGGGAGGGCAGTCAGGGAGAGAGCAGGCCAAGGTGACTCCTGGGCTCCTGACTTGGGCCTCCGGAGCCTCTGGGATGGGGGACCAGGATGGCACAGATCTGGGAGCGTGAAGGGTGCTCCTTCGGACAGTGGTTTAGAGGAGGCAGCGGGCATGAGGGTCTGGACTAGAGGAGAGGGGCTTCACTGGAGTGCCATCAGAACGCATTGGCGATCGTGACCATGGACATATCCCAGATGAGCCAAGGGGAGGGTTGAAAGAATAAAGAGAAGCATGCTCATGCCAGAATCCAGAGGACCAGACTCCACGTAAGGAGCGCGCCCAGCAAGAGGAGGCTGCAAATCAGAGCTGTGACATGGAGAGAGGTGGGGACACGGGTGCAGAGGGGAATTGGGGAGGAAAGTCAGCTCAGATTCAGGTCACCCATTGAGTCATGTGGCCAGTTCATTGAGCGGGTTGGCATGGCAGGACCTTGGAGTGGGTAGAGGGGAACTGCAGGTCCGGATGTCCATCATCTTAAAAGGAAGGTACTTGAAGAAAGGGGGAGGCAGCAGGTTGGGCCTGGGGTAACTGTCCTGGGTCTCCTCCCCAAACCAGCCCCAGTGTCTCCTGCCCCCTCTGTTTCTCTGCAAGGGAACACTGGCCCTCGAAGCCCTCCCCAGAGCCCTCTGGACCTCTTTCCCGAATCTCCCCATCCTCTGTCAGTGTCCCGTTGCCACCTTCTAGCCTATAGGGTGTTGAACTGGCTCACGTGGCCTCGCGTGTCTCCAGTTTGTTGCATTTGTCCGTGTTTGCTGAGCACCGTGGCCCATGAGCCACCCATTTCCCCCGTGTC